GTCGTATATAAACATTTGTGTGAAAATATAACCCGAGCCGCTAGGCGGCTCGATATTTTCATAACTTCGTACTGTACTTCCGTTTTGGTTTATTTTTTTGTCGTTCGGGTTATTAATTCCAACATTTTAAAGTGTTAAAAATTGAGTACCGCTCAAGCCGGTGTTAGGGGTCTAAAGGTATGTTGCATTTTTTCATTACCACTCATGTACAAACTGAGTCTGCAATTTTCATATAATTTTGTTGCGATTTTTATCACACTGTATCACGATTTTTGTATTAAAAAGTTTCTTCCGATGGACGACACAAACATTGTAACATTGGAATGCGTGCGCAAAGTTAAACTCTGTTTCTTTTGGGTTTATTGTGTTTGAGTTTTTTGGAGGTTGGGGTTGGTTGGTTGGTTGGTTTGTTTGGTTTTCGATCACATCTCAAAATATTGCTTATTAGTAATAAATCACTTCGAAAGAATTTAACAAAAATATTTTGATATTTATTCTAGAACATAGCTGGATATTGCATTAGAAACTCGACGGCAGTGTCATTTCAACAAACCTCTATCCGTATGCTATACCAACAGAGTAAACGGACATTTACAATCATTTAAAACAAATTTAGTATCTCAACAATGTTATTTGATAAAAAAAATAGATACTTATACAGCATGATAAAAATATCTTACAATTTAATAAGGATTACTTGGTCTACACGAATCTTGTAATCTGTTTTAAAAGTGAACAGCTCTTCTACTCTTGCATTAACTTTTCTTTAATAATTGATGATAAATATTTCCTTTATAAATTGTCTAAAGCTATGCTTCGAATGAATGATTAAATAGACATAGCATGCAAAAATAATGTCACGTTTTCAGTTACGGATTAAAACAATAGACAAATACTTGACAAATCTTGTTCATTTCTTCAAACAATTATGTCTCCATATGTAATAGTAATTCAAGTCTGTATAAAGAGTCTCGATATTTACATGCAATTAGTAGGCAGTCTGCAGCACCTACTTTTATACCGACGATATTTTTATTTGATTACTGAATCCCTCTTTGTCTGTCTAGACCTTCAAATAAAGGTAATTGTTTGTTAAGGTAGCTTACTGTGTGTCCGGAGGCTTTAATATTCAATAGAGACATGATTAGAATACGAAGCCATATATGGTCTCTCATTGGATTGTGGAAATAAGTTGAGCCGTATAAAATATCAGACGCTCAGTCGACTTTTGAAAGTCTTGCAAGTAAATGGCAACATACTCGACTAATTAAATAATATGATAAATGCACACTAATGACATTAACACAATATGAGGGACTTGGGCAACATTGCCTCACAAAGCTTTTGTCAGAGATGTGGGCATTATAGATATGCATATAGGAGATATGCTCTAGCCAATATCCGGACAATATATGGATATTCTTTCATTTCTAGTTGCCTTGACCTTACAAATATTGACCTAAATTACATATGTCACACTTGTAGTTATGATAGTTATTACTTGTGTTACAATCCATCAAAAAATGATGACTAAATGGTCCCCGTACACAAACTTACCTCTCTATGTGACTGACTTTGGTAGCAGGGACCTGGATTATGTGCGAGATACTTAGCTTCACAATAATAGTCATGATAAAAACCATTTGAGTTTCAATCCCTCAATAAATGATGACTAAATGGTCCGAATACACATTTTTATATTTTTATCTGAACTTTGACCCCTATGTGTGACCTTGACCTTGGCTGCAGGGACCTAACTTTAGCATGCGACACTCCGCCTTACAATGGTGAACATTTGTTTCAAGTTATATTGAAATCCCTCTATGCATGTAGAAGTTTTGCTCCGGACAAGCGTTTTTCAAAATGGCGCGACACAGCTTCTCATAGTGGTAAACACTTAATGCGTGTAGGAGATATGCTCCGGACAAAAATTGGACGCCGCCCATACAGTCGCCCACCCGCCCACCAGAAGGGACACTAAAATTCGACCCGAAACGGGCGTATAAAAACCGTTGTCTTTAACCGTGGTCAAGATTGTGGACATGTTCTAATAATTCATTACAAATGTTATTTCAAGAACAGACCAATTAGTTTGCAATTGTCTACGAATTCTACAGTTGTTATTTTTTAGCATAAGAAACTGTCCCTTTGGTAGTTAAAATGACGTTTGCAGACGCAACGATTATCTTAAAATAACTGCTCCGTGATAAATTTACCCTTAAAGTCATCTTGTGTTACTTTCTTTATTGATTTTGATGGAATCTTGCAAATAAATAAAGCAACGCAATATTGGAATCTGTCATCTTAATGTACGTTAACGTTACAATATCAACTTTTCTAACCTTTTATAAAATTTGTGGGACCTTTCACTGCAAAACAGCAGGACGTTGCAGTGATTGTTTCGGCTACATAGCTTATAAGCGAATTTCTCCATGACAGAGGCAAATTGTAAAGATAAGAGTTGTATTTTGTCCTTAACCAAATTGCTTGCGATATTTTAGTACAGTCTTAATTTCATTTCCTTGAAAAGTTGTATAATTAAAATGCCAAAATTCATGACAAACATTCAATATTCACTATTTGCGGCTCGTCACACATTTCTATAGCCAGTTTTGAAAATCTGTGGGGTTATGTAGCCTTTCTGCTTCAATCTATATTACTTGGGTTATCTTAAGTACCATTTATATATTAAGTTCAATCTAATGCAAATTATGCAATACAGTGTAACACTTGTTCTTTCGTTAATTCTTTTAAGTATACAAAGCAGAGACGCCAAGCCCATGCTAATAATAATTTAGATGTTTTCAGAGATTCATCAAACGCTCTATAAGGTATTGTCATCTATGTACATACTTATTAATTTTCCCATTGGTTTTTTTATCGTATAAAATTGTCATTTGTGGTCATAAATATACAACACCTTCAATTTATTAGGACATTTTATAGACTGTAATTTGTCAACTGATTTACATAATGGAAATAATATGCCAGACATTGTTCTGCGACCCATAAAATACGTCTATAAGGAAACATATATAATAATAGTGAGGCGTTTCTCGGCAAACTAATTGACTTTGTGATAATGTATACACGTATTACGGAAATATGTTCGTGATTTGGACCATGCACGCTTAAAACAACTGTCAACTAATCTGTTTATTATTCCATAAATGTAAATGGGTACAATAAACCTTTTCAAACATGTTACCGAGGACATGATGTGTTTATGTTACCAAGAATGGATCAGATTGACTTTAAATTTTACTTCATTTGATTTGATATGAAGCTTGAAGGCAAAACTATTGCTGGGAATTGATTGGACCGCAGCCTTCTATTCATTTTCCCAAAATGGAAGCGTACCGCATAAAATAAAATTAGAAAATACAATCGTGTAATTAAGACTTAAGTCGATTGATAAATAGAGAATGTCATTTATGGATAAATAAAAAATCATAAATTGACTATTGTTCATAATTACAAAACATTAACTGAGTAAGTCATATTTTTCTGTTTGACATGTATGTCGCGCCTTTTCGATATTTTCATCAGAGGTGTTTCTTTCTACATTATAAATATGTAACAACTGAGGTATACTGAATAAAGACTATCAAATAAACGAAAAATTCCAAAAACAGCACTCTTAATGAGACACAAACTTAAGTTTCTAGTCTGCCTCCAAAAGAAACTGATATTGGATAATACATTGGTATGTGAAAACATGGTCATAACCTTATCGTAGCACTCGAATTCGCGATCCTTTTGTTGAAAGGCTGATCTTTCAACCAATTAACCATCCCTCTTGACTTAGTGGTTTATGAGATGTATAACTGTAAAGAAATAGGCCTTAACAATGAAACTTAACATACCATTATGTCGACATTGAGTTTCATAAGGTGACAATTATCATTAAATCTGTAAGTGTTGTTGTTGTTGTTGGAATGACATTTTTTTCTTTACACAGTGTGATAAAGTTTTCAATGAATCTTCAAAATAAACTGACCACAAATTCTTAACTGACAATAAAAAAAATGGAGTTAAAACAATTAACTTTATGTTAAGCATACTTATAGATCCATCCATCAGTAAATTTAATTGTTTGATTCATAATGCATTAAAAGAAACAAAATAACAAAAAGAGACAATTAAATAAACACTAATTTATTAACAGAACTTTTACAGTTGTAAATATATAAATCTGCAGTAACAACATAGACAACTAAACAATAAAAATGTATTACATTGACAACATAACACTAACATAGAATAAATATCTACTCATAAAAGTAATTATATAAATCAAATTTCTAACAAATTAAAGTAATTATATAAATCAAATTTCTAACAATCTTTGACTGAAAACAACTATTTAAATGTAACACAACAAAAACTATGATATACATTATACATATTACATCATTAAAAATGCTTTTATAATATAATGTTTTAGAATACTGTTTCCTTTGTATAGAAATCTAATTCTATCTACATTTAAAGGGACTCCACTTAGGTTAAAAAGCCTAACGACATAACATTTGAATTTCTTACATAAATGAGCTGGGGCACTTTAAACAGAAATATATGCAAAGATAGTTAAGAAATATACTTTGAAATAAATTGAAAATCATACTTTTATGCTTTTCTGAGCCCGAGTTGAGTGAAAAGTGTTTAAACGCTTTACATTTTGGGTCATATTTTTACAACTTGAATAATTATTCTGGAAAAACGAAGTGCGCGAATGATCTGAAATTTTGCACAAAGATTAGAGTTCTAAATCTACATCAAATGGTACATGTATCCGGAAAAAAATATTTTCAGTCCCATCATATCAAAAAACCTCAATGGAGTCCCTTTTAGATGCAAAAATCATGTAAACTTTGTCTTTAATCACCCGAGGAATTTCACTTAACTCCAAATTATTAAAAATAATGACATTTACAACTAGTGTCTAGCAAATACATAGTGTACTATGAACTACAAATTTTGATGAACTACAAATGTTAACATCAATGTCTACCATGGAAGATTGCCCAAAGATATGCTTCAATTAGGAAATAAATATGTTTTAATGAAAGTTATCTTACAGAGTTTAAAATGAATTACCTAAGGGGGATAAAGTGAAGTGCATTGTTCATATTGAATATTTTTGGCTAATGTTAGAGAAGAACATATATGTCCCACCTTACAGTTGGTAGGGGAATGAAATATTCTCCATTGAAAGAATAATGAATAGTAAAACTTATGTCATTTTAACCTAACCTTGTACACACATTTTGTATACACGAGTTATTTTACTTGGAACAAAAAACTTGTAATTCAAACAATTAATTTTTTATTGACACAAACTTAACACATAATACACCTTTTTAGAAGGAGTTATTTCTTATAAATCGGTGAAGTTGTTTTCAAAAGATTAAGTACTACAACATAAAGGTAGCTTTCCAGCATAAAATACCTTTTGCATAAAAAACACTTAAATCATTTTTTAAAAATGAAGGCCTAAAGTTTGTGGCTAACTTATCAGTAGACATGAAAAATCCTATAAGATAACGTTGATTCAAAGAATATACCAATTACAATATATCCAACTACAATATTTATGATTACATCAAATACTCTATCAGATATGTAAACCACTTATCATACACAGATACATAAATACAACGTGCACATCTTTTTGTATGCGCTTTTGGATCATTAAATTAGTTACTTCCGCATCTTTTGTTATATCTATTGTGAATATCAAATCACATTTTATCTATTATAAATATCAATTCATGTTTTAAGTGCAAATTGTAAATATCAAATCATGTTTTAAGTACAAATTGCTTTAAGTCATGCAAAAATTACTGTTTTCTGGGTTTCAAAACTTGAAATCATGTTTTTTAAGCCTATAAGTGTGAGAAAAGAAAGAGAATATTAATCATAGAACATGCATTCACAACATATAATTTTGTGCTTTATTTTAACACAACCCGCATTCTATCACTATTGAACATAGAAGGACCAAAAGTGTGTGTTTTTATGCAACAAAATCACTGTTGGCGTTCTATATTTAGACATGTGAAGTAACCACAAGAAATATGAGTAAAAAAGTACGGAAACAAATTGTGCTCAATTTAGCTTAATATCAGGTTCTGAGTGATACATTTTCCAGGAAATTAACCACTTTTATCTTGTCTATTAACTACATGTTACTTTCCCTCCCATAACATTGCCTACAATCTAATAGTATAAAACACATTATTATAGTTTCACTTTGTATGTCACTTATTGAATAAAAAGATATAATTTCTTCTGGTTATTTAAGACTTTCTTAATGCATTTACAGAAGATATACATACATGTATATAATAAACAGAAAATATCATGGATGTGCTGTCTCACCCTTGTTGATTGTATACAATCATCATTTATAGCATATGTATGCAAATTTCCTTAAATTTTCTCTACAATGATAGAACAAATATGACATTTATTACAATCTTTAGCATTTGTGTTTATATAAAATACTAGAAAGATAAAAAAAATATGGCATAAGGGAAACAACTCTTGCATCATTTTCTTTCCTACTTCACACACAAGTACTACAGCTTGACTACTTAGCATTTAAAAATGAGAATAGAAGATTAAAATGCTGAGCTAGTTTTCCTTGATTTCATACAATGATGAATGCAGCAAACAAAAGTGTAATTTGATTTCAAAGTTGACTAGTCTACAATGGGCATATTTTACATAAATATTTCAAATGTTGATAAGAACACCAGAATTGTATCATTTGGAAAAAGTTGAATAAAAAGATGCTGATTAAGTTGTAAGGGATTACGAATGGACCTTTACATGATGATTAATATTTTGTTCTAGGACATTTTATTATCTGCTACAAATATATATGTAATATAAGATCATGTATCTCACACAAACCAACAACATTCATATATAATTATTCTTTTATGGTTTGTTGTTATGTTCGATACCAATTACTATCAACATAATTATTTATAGTATTATAGCGTTTATATTATATACCAATTCCATTTCAACAATCTAATCAAGTAACAATACAAAACTGACTTTTTAAAGACAACAAATAGTGCATTTAATTTCAATGAAGAAATTGACAAATATTTTCGTTAATGATAAAGCTGAAAATGCAGACTGGTAATTGTAATAACAATTACAGTTTTTTTTGTAATAACAATTACAGTTGACTAAAACTATCACTTGTTGGGACTCGTACCCAATGTCCTTTGAAGAGATTTGGATAGATGGGAAGGAGGAATAAATTGTATGGCATTAAATGCATGAAAAAGAAATTGCCTCTGACAGAAAGAGAAAGTGTACAGGTAAAAGTACTGGTAAAATAAAATCATGATGACACAAAAATTTAAAGAATAGCACTGCATGTAGTATTAACACTTGTCTGTTAAGAATTTTAAGTTAAAAATTGATATTTCTCTAGAAAGATTGCTTTCAGAATCATGTCCCTTGTCTAACAACTTCACCTTGACATGATAAGCAAGTATTCCAAGGTTCATCTTGAAATTTTTTAAAAATGGCTACATTAAAGTTTTCACGCAACAACAAGATGACAAGAATGATGACAAGGCTGCAGCAATCATTTTAGTGTGACTATTCCTTCAAAACAGAAAAGCTTAAATAGGGCATAACTTTGTCAAACTGCGATAATGAGTTATCGAATCTGATTTAAAGAGCACTCTGGTGGCTATATTTAAAAAAAAAGTTTACACCTAAAAAATAAATATACATCCTGAGATTTATAAATAATACATGTAATCTAAAGCCCGCAAAATCTATATTATAAATAATTATTTCATGTACTAAAGAACCCAAAACACTAAAGACCTGTTAGATAATAATGTATATAAAAAACAACTCAAAGCTAACCATGGTTGTTTAAAAGAAGTATTCAGAATTTATATCATGTGTATAAAGTTCATTAGCTAATACCCATAATAATTTGAATAAAGGTGTTTCTATGCATATTTCATAGTTTTATAAGAAACAGAACTAATTTATCAATCTGCTCAAGGGAGGTAACTATAAAATTGATGTATACATAAGATAAGAAGGATAGCCCAACTATTTTTTATAAAGTCAAGCTAAAATGTGTAGTTTATTTTGTATCATATCCCCTTTAAGGTCAAGTCTTGATGTGTCTCTATATTCTAGGTATCACATCTGATCCATGGAAGAGTTTTGGTTGTATACTGAGAAATCAATGGGTGGTAAATGGTACATGTTGGCATTTGCTGGATAGTTAGAATGGTGGGTTATCATAGGAGTATTGAGTGTATAAACAAATGATTCTGACACATTCTGCGAGGCAGGTAATGGAACAGTTTTGTCCTGGAAGTGGCACTGATCCTCCACCATACTTTTATCAGATGAAGAAGAAGATGATGATGACGTGGGATACCCTGATTCTTGAGCTACACTTGAAGTAGAATGGTCTATATTCTTAGATTTCTTGTCACTGATTGCATCATCTTTTACACCAAGAATCTGGCCGCTCTTGAGATTTTTATATCGAGCTTTCATTTCAACACTATGTCTAGTAACAACCTCAAGTTTATGAACACTTCTCTGGTGCTTTATAAGATTACCTCTAAAGAATGTACTGTACTCACACAGATGACACTTCTCATGTTTCTCTCCCTACAATACAACAAAACTATACAATATGAGAAACCCATCAGAAAATATAGCTCCTTATCAAACAAATACATTTATTTTTTGCTCCAGGATATAACTTTATCATGACTTAGTATTTAAAAGGAATAAATATATGAACAAAGGTGTTAGGTCAAATTTCTTAAAATAAATATACATGTATATTTTTTTAATCTAGATAAACTACTATATATATACATCTGACTGATTAAACATGGTATTTACTATAATTATTATTAAGTACACATTTAACTTTCATAAAATATCAAATTAATCAATAGCAGTTGATCTATTATCAGGGAAAATCTGACAAAGTTTTTGTATACATATACAACAGATTCACTGCATACATTTTTTATAAAAACTTTTTCTTTTTCTTCATGTCAAACCAACCAAGTATAGATCATATGTCCATTTTCCAGCTTTACTGGTGGAGGAAGACCTCAGGTGTCATTCCATGCATTACTTCATGCACAAACGAGCACTGATGTAGAACCATCAACATTCTGTCAGCCAGCTGGATAGCTTCATCACATAAAAGAATCCAGAGTTTTTTGGGATTTGAACCTACAGCAGTAAGGGGCAAGTGGTTTAAAGTCAACAACATTAACCACTTGGGTAGGGATGCCCCTCATAAAAAAAGTTTTCTCCACAACTACTCATTGAGTACAAAATACTGAAAACAACAAAATATATACTGTAAATGATACCTTTTGGGTATGTTGATTTTCTACATGATTTTTCAGGTGACAGTTCTTCAGTGCTTTATATGTGCAATCATCAAATGGACATGGAATACGATCAGCTGTAAAGTTGTTAAATTAAACTAATTGTATTGTTTACATCATTAAATCACAATACTTGATGAAAATAACACATAAATGATATTCTTCTTATAATTAAGCATTCAATTATATATTCTATTGCTGTTTTATACTTAATTTCAAAGCATTTTCTATCAAAAAAGAAACTTCTATATTTTGTACACTTCCATTTGGTTTCCTGCATATTTGCTATGGAATATTAGATTCATTTCACAAGCTGATAGTTAGACAAAGACCTACTTTTTAGTAACATGATACAGCATTGTTTACAGTTTATCTGTTTATATATAAACATACAACAAATATGGTGCTACATGCTGTTACTACGCTTGAATTAGTCTACTACAAATAAATTCTCACCTTTACCTAAACTTGAAAGACAAAGTAGCTATTTGGCTAAACATAATTATTCTTTCATATTGCAGCAAGAGAACATTTGTTCCAATAATATTTGTAGAGTAGTAATCAATATATTTTATATATAAGAGACAATAAAGACAAAAATACAGTCATCACATACATGTATGAACAATCATATGAGTACTGAGACTATTTTTGGTCTTGAAAGCTTTAGAACATCTGTCACAGTGCCATTCCCTTTTATCTGGAAATATACAAATTCACAATAATTATCATTTATGTCTCATATTAAAGCAGCATGCCTCTAGATTCATGCAAATATTGAAAATTTATTCAAAAGCAAAATATTGTAAGGTGAAAAAGAATATTAATTTACACATAGCAAATAGCATTCGCACTCCAAGTTAACAACCAAAAAGAGGTCAAAATGCGAAAATAGGCTTGCTGCGTTACTAAGGCATATCATTTACTAACACATATGATGATAAATACTGCAAAACCAGTCATTAATCACACACAATATGTTAATTATTACTTGAATTTGAAAATATTTTACTTTTCTTAAAATCTTAGTACATTTTTCTCAACTTTCACTTGAAAAATGTTGACCTATCTGGAGGCATGCAGCTCTAAAGTATTTATAAGGTTCATAAATGGCCACATTAGCGACATGAACAATATGAGAGATGATAATTTAATATGCTAATTTAGAAAGATATGTTAAGGTTCTATTTTTTGAACAAGTTAGGAAATCAAGTCGAAATATAGGCCTATATATTTAAAGTGAAGAAGACTTATCTTACCTTCATGAAGGAACATGTGCTTGTCAAAGAATCTTTTGTTGTTGTGACAATAATCACATCTTGGACAGCGGTACCTGAAAGAACAGGAACAACAAACATGTGAATACAACAAGTAAGTGTAAGATTATCAAATAACCAACTAGTTTTGTTTGTTTGTTTGTTTGGGTTTTACGCCACACCGACACAGTATAGGTCATTCGGCGACGTTCCAGCTTTACTGGTGGAGGAAGACCTCAGGTGCCCTTCTGTGCATTATTTCAGGCACGAGCGGGCACCTGAGTAGAACCACCGACTTCCGTAAGCTAGCTGGATAGCTTCCTCACATGAAAGAATCCAAAGTCTCTGTCGGGATTCGAACCAACAGCGGTGAGGGGCAAACCAACTAGTGGATGCCACCTAAGTTTATCAGCAGTGTTTTACCTGCAACAGTTAAAATAATTTATGTCGAGAGAACCAATCTCAACACACACAATCCTTTGACAAGATAATAATAGTTTATAAATTAATACATAATGAATACATACACGGTGAAGCCTTCAGGTAATGGCTGATCATGTACTTTATATAGATGAAAGGTGAGATCACTAGATGTTCTGTATGTCTGTGAACATATATGACACATCATCAAGTTATGTAGATTCTCTCCCCTGTGTCGTAACCTGATATGATGCTGAAATATGTAACACATTGTGTGATAAATATGAATCAATAACAAGTTATCTCAAAAACATCGTCATTGAAAGAATGCATTTAACACTTAATCAACTGCCTACCTCTGGCCTGGTACTAACTCTTCTGCTTAAATGGACAAGTACCTTGTAAACACAGACAAATATCTGGTAAAAATGATCCCTCAGAAGCATTAAAAACAGCAAAATTAAATGAAAAATGCAGACACGGTTTGATTCAGTACATGAGGGATAATGATAAAGTGCAACATCCCTCACCCTCCCTAGCTCCCGCTTGAGTGGTACTCAATTTTCAACACTTCAAAGTGCCAGATTAAATGATCCTGAAGGACCAGAAAACCAGAACACTGAAGTGAAGTACTAGGCAACTTTTTACAGCTGCCACACAGCACTTGACACCTGCTGTTTTAATGTATAAATATCTGGTAATATCCGAGTGATCCCTCGAAAGCATTAAAAACAGAAAAATTACATGAAAATTGCAGTCTAAAAGCCTCATTTGACATGTCTTGAATAAAATATATTTCTATTAAGATGTTTGGATAAAAACTATTTCCAAATCTTACTATTTTTCCATTCAAAAACCTGCTGCTAAATAAAATCAAGTATAGGTATCTAAATCATTTTAATCTAATCATATAACTGACACATTTCTGTAATCTTAGAACAATACTTTCAATTTTTAGAAATAAACAAACACTTTATGTAAAGTGTATACACCCTTAAAGTACAATTAGTTGTTATTTCTATTGATCAAACTTACTAAGTATCAAAAATAAATCATTTTCTCACTACAAAAGAAATAATGTATATATAAAATATTGATAATAAAGTCTTACTTTGAGACCTTTTTGACCTTTGAGCGTTTTTCCACATTCTTCACAAGTCAACATGGGCTGAACATCTGTATGCATTAGTTCCTTTATTAAATAAACAAACTTACATTTACAGTCCACAATCTAATTTCTTAAAGTGTCATGCCTTTGCATTTTTAATAATATACATGAAAATTGGGGAGTGTTCTGAACAGTAAAACAATTACCAAATGTTTTAAGCCAATATAATTAACTTAAAGAGACTCCACTGAGATTTTTTGACATGACAGAACAGGAAATATTTTTTTGAGATTGATGTTCCATTTGATGAACATCTATATAAGTTATATGTGTGCAAAATTTTAGATCATTCCCTCACTTTCTTTTCCAAAGATAATTATTCAAAATGTAAAAAATTACTTAAAAATGCTTTTCACTCAAATCAGACCAAGAATGGCTCAAAATACAATTTCAATATTTTTAGAATATAATTCTTAATCATCTTTTGCATATGTTTCTGCTGTAAAGTGTCCCTGTTGATCTATGTAAAAAAATTCAAATTCTATCATTTTTTACTGTTGTACCTCAGTGGAGTTCCTTTGATATCATCATATTATTATTACTGACAGTGTGTAAAATAATGAATGCATAAGAAAAAGGGCCACAAAGATTGTGAATCTTTACATACATGTATCTCTCTTATCTCATGAATTATCTAAATTAATAAACCATCCTTACTCTAGCATACAGTTTTCATTTCTTTCATTCCAATACTATTTTTATAATACAAGAGGGCCATGATGGCCCTGAGGTCGCTCACCTGTATATAGGCCCCCCCCACCCCCGGGCCAATTTTTACCCAAGGGCTTTTTTTTGTTTATTTGAACAGACTTGGTAGACACCTATAAGAAGATGTTTCATGCTAAACATCTAAGTTCTAGCTCATTGGGTTTTTTAAAAGAAGATTTTTAAAGTTTTTACTATACACATATAGTTAAAAACAATGACACCCCTGGGGCAGGGCCAGTTTTAACCCCCGGGCTTTTATTTGAACAAACTTTGTAGATATTTACTTAAAGATGTTTCATGCTTAATATCTAAACTCTAGCTATTTGGGTTTTTTCAAAGAAGATTTTTAAGTTTTTGCCATACACATATAAGGAAAATCAATGACCCCCAGGGCGGGGCCAGTTTTGACCCCAGGGCTTTTATTTGAACAAACTTGGTAGACACTCATTAGAAGATGTTTCATGCTAAATATCTTAGCTCTAGCTCTTTGGGTTCTTTAAAAGAAGATTTTTTAAGTTTTTACTATATGCATATAGGGAAAATCTATGACCTCCTGGGGCGGGGTCAATTTTGACCCCAGGGCTTTTATTTGAACAAACTTGGTAGACATTCACTAGAAGATGTTTCATGCCAAATATCTAAGCTCTAGCTCTTATGGTTCTTTCAAAGAAGATTTTTTAAGTTTACTATATGCATATAGGGAAAATCAATGACCCCCTGGGGCGGGGCCAATTTTGACCCCAGGGCTTTTATTTGAACAAACTTGGTAGACATTCACTAGAAGATGTTTCATGCTTAATATCTAAGCTCTAGCTCTTACGGTTCTTTAAAAGAAGATTTTTTAAGTTTTTACTATATGCATATAGGGAAAATCAATGACCCCCCGGGGCGGGGCCAATTTTGACACCAGGGCTTTTATTTGAACAAACTTGGTAGACACTAACTAGAAGATGTTTCATGCCAAATATCTTAGCTCTAGCTCTTTGGGTTCTTTAAAAGAAGATTTTTTAAGTTTTTACTATATGCATATAGGGAAAATCAATGACCCCCCGGGGCGGGGCCAATTTTGACCCCAGGGCTTTTATTTGAACAAACTTGGTAGACACTCACTATAAGATGTTTCATGCCAAATATCTAAGCTCTAGCTGTTAGGGTTGTTTAAAAGAAGATATTTAAAGATTTTTCTTGTGGTTGCCATGGCAACCAGAGTTCTGCATGGAATTAAATTCTTTGAACAATTTTTAAAGGTGACCACCAAAGGAACATTCCTGTGAAGTTTGGATGAAATTGGCTCAGTGGTTTATGAGGAGATGTCATTTAAAGCAAAAGTTTACGGACGGACGACGGACGGACGACGGACGGACGCCGGACGGACGCCGGACGAAAAGCGATCACAAAAGCTCACCCTGTCACTTTGTGACAGGTGAGCTAATAATAAGGTATGAAATAAAAAATGTATGCCAGAGTAAATAAGGTTTATTAAAATAGGATATATAAAGATTCATATCAAATGATTCTATCTCAAAATCAACACAAGTCAAATACTGATCATGGGCAATGTTAACAAGTTTACAAACTTGCACTGATATTTTCTCAATTTATTAATAGGACAAAGATTGTACACTAAATTACACTGTGACCTTCACATATGACCTCAAATCAATAAGGGTCATATACAAGCCATGGGGATTGTTCCTACAAATTTTCACAAACTCAGGCTAATTACTTCTCAAGTTATTGATCAGCAAGCGTTATACAGTGACACTATGACCTTGACCTTTCACCAAATAACCTTAAAATGAATAGGGGTTACCAGCTTATATACCAAGTTCCACAAGCTTATGCTTAATACTTCTGATTGGGCAAGGATTTTATACAGTGTCTATGTGTCCTTTGTACTAATGAGTTCAAAATCAAAATAGGTCTTCTACTGGCCATATCGGGTACATAAATCATGACTTATACCTTCTCAAGAAATGAGTCAAACAACTATAACAGTCTTACAAAGGTACAGATTGATGCATCATTCTATCATAGTATGCTCCCTGCTTTTTTAAAAGCAGGAATGAAAACTATAGAACTGCTTTTGAGTTAACATGAACATAAAGTTTTAAGCAATAAAAGAATCCATTGCGGATTTATCAGCTAGGATACATGTACATGCATTGACAATGTCTACTGTTTTTCATACCTTGTGTTTTAAAATTTTTTTCCTAAATTCTTGTGGGGGTTTTCCAACAATCACAAAATTGGTTCTTCCCTTTGTTACACAAAACAAAAATTTGGGGTGATGTAATTTTCCATGGTTTCAGTTAAAACAAAAATTACAAAAAACTAAAATTTATTCAGCATTTTTCAAAAATAAATTTAAAATTTTATATAGCTTCAAGCTGACTTTATAAAACATCTGGAGTGATTAAAAAAAATCAAAAGGGTAAACATTTAAGAAAAAAACCCTTTTGTAATACAAAAAAATTTTTTTTCCGTTTAAAACCATCTTAAAAAATTTTATTCCAAAAAACAGTCATAAAACTTAACATGATAAAAAAAATAATTTCTGTAGTAAAATTAAAGCAGCATGCCTCCAATTTCATGCTTATTTTCATGAACATTTTTTAAAATGTATTTAAACTAGAATTGTGTCCAAAGGACACGGATGCCCCCACTGACAACATATATATGGTATATAGTGAAAAAATCAACAAAGGGCCATAATTCTGTTAAATTTTGTCACAGCGAAAATTCCTTCCTTTACTACCATCTACACATTCAGGTTGTTCATCCCAGGAAGTTTAAGCAAAATCTGCCAACAAGTTTAAGAGGAGTTGCGTTCACAAAATTTCTATATGGTATATAGTGAAAAAATCAACAAAGGGCCATAATTCTGTTAAATTTGGTCGCAGCAAAAATTCCTTCCTTTACTGCCATCTATACATTAAGGTTGTTCATCCTTGGAAGTTTAAGCAAAATCTGCCATCCGGTTAAAGAGGAGATGCGTTCACAAAATTTCTACATAGTATATAGTGAAAAAATCAACAAAGGGCCATAATTCTGTTAAATTTGGTCGCAGCGAAAATTCCTTCCATTACTACCATCTACACATTAAGCCGATTAAGGTTGTTCATCCCTTGAAGTTTAAGCAAAATCTGCCAACCGGTTTAAGAGGAGTTGCATTCACAAAATTTCTACATAGTATATAGTGAAAAAATCAACAAAGGGCCATAATTCTGTTAAATTTGGTCGCAGCAAAAAATTCCTTCCTTTACTACCATCTACACATTAAGGTTGTTCATCCCTGGATGTTTAAGCAAAATCTGCCATCCGGTTTAAGAGGAGTTGCGTTCACAAGATTTCGGGACGTACGGACAGACGTACGGACGGACAAGCGCAACGCTATATGCTCCCACATTGTGGGGGCATAAAAAATGATATTGTGTAGTAACCAAAAGGAAGCAATTAACAAATTATCAATGGCACTTGCAACCTACGTAAATTACCAAAAAGAGGTCAAAATATGCAAAAATAGCCATTAAAACTGTTGCAGTGTAAATATTGTTAAAATTACTGAAAATCAGTCATTACTCCCTCATTACATGTAAATTATTACTTGATCTTGAACCTTTTTACTTTTCTTAAAATTTTAGTAAATTTTTCATAAGTTTGATGTTATTGAAATATTTTTGCTCAACTAGAGACATGCTTTACAGTGACAATATGACCATCACAGTCAAAATAGTGAATGTGCAGGTAAATTAGCAGGTAAATTGTACAGGTAAATGCCAGGTACCTTATCATTTTGTCATGCTTGTCTTCAATTTTAAGTTCAATTCATAAAAAGACTGGGACAGTCTTGTTAGGCAGGTTTTATATTTTATCCTTTATTATATTAATCAACTAGACAGTGAAAAAAATAAGATTATTGTCACTTTTTATTCTCAAGTAATCATTGATATGTGTATGACTTAAAAAGAAAGCCAATAGAAAACTTTGTTTTATAAGAACAATAGAAAATAATATTACCTCACAATACAGATCTGGCCATTTTTCTTTGTCATATTGTATTTCATGAGCTAAAAATTCATGTTCAATTTGATCTGCTAATCGTCGGAACTTCCTCGAACAGGCACAACAACAATATTTTCTTCTCATCTCAAACCTCTTCTGCTTCCTTTTAGCCAACTTTTCTTGCCGCAGCTTTATACATCTGACATCACTGTTCCGATGCTCCATGTAATCCTCAGTTGACTCAAAGTTAACATGACAGGTAACACACTTTCGCCTCTGCCGATTATTTTTACCAGTACATTTATTTCTATGCCCTGTCAGTTCATACTGAAAAAAGAAACTCTTCCCACATTTTTCACACTCTCCTCCATTTCCTGATCCTATCTC